AAGAGCACCAGTAGGAAATGTTTAGAAGGCGCTGGGAACAAAGGGAATTCAAACCCATATGAGTCTATTAATAGACACAGGAAATTTATTAACAGCGGCAACAAATCAAGTGTTCAATAACTTCCTAAATTCTGCTTTTGCAGAGAAACCAGATCTCTTTTTATAAAGCTGATGAAGGACTTGCAAGACTGCTATTAGCCAAGAAATTTAAAAAGCATACCTAAAAATAAACTGATATTTTACACCTACACCCAGATAACCCAAACACTATCATCCTTCAAGTGTTGACAGAGGTGTATAGCAGGTTTTGGAAATACCAGACAACTGCTGAGTTAGGACTGAGCTATTGTGACAGCCTGAAATAAGATAATTATGGGTTGTATATTGATATTAAGTAATAATTAGATAATAATTTCATATTAGAATAATAGAAGGATTATAAATAAATACCCAAGCTTGGTGAGGTGTTAAGCAGCAAAGGTGGAGTAGGATCAAGAAAGCAGCAACTCTGGGAAGAAATTCAGGGTGAGCAAAGCAGACCTGAACTGCAAGGATTGCCTCTGTAACAGAGGGGTTTTAGTTTAAATTTGGGTGTATATACTGAGAGAAATGGGTACAGTTAACCAGGACAGGGGGTGCAAGCCCTGGACATGGCACAGTGACACCCTGGCACTTTGGACCCAGGTTTGGCATCCACCTGGCATGTGGAAAAGATAGAAATAGTTGCAAAGAGCCATGAGAAACGGGAGAAATAAATAGTGTTATGATGAGAAAATGTGTTCTTTTGCCTCAGGAGGATATTGAGGGCTCAGAAGGATTTGCAGTGGGCAGCCTTTGTCAGAGGGTCTCTGTGCAATTGGATAGGAAAAGGTAGAGCTGCCTGCAAATGTCTGGGACATGAGGCCAGGAGATTTCCCACTGCCAAGAGAGTATTCTGGTATTGACAAAAGTGATTTTCCAGGCCATGAAGTCTTCAGAACAAAAATGGACTCTTTTGGGCAAATTCAACAGCTGGTCTCAATATGAGATTGCTTTGGGAAAGGAAACTTATAGCAGGCCCTGCAAAGTGATCTGCTGATTGTTAGGGCTTTAATCTCTGTAAATAACCTTTTCCTCTGCCTTTTTGAGGCAGGGGGAGAAGATTCCCATCTCCCCTCTCCAATAAAGATGTCAGGTCAAAGAACATATCTATGAGAGAAGCAGGAATACTGGGTGCACATGTTCCTTTAGATCTTCCTCCTCTACATCTATCCCTGTGCCCTCTTATTCACCTTTTTATGAAGTATCAGATCAGGATAAAAAGGTCATGGACCAGGGGACATTAGGCTTTTTCTTTCAAGCAGAACATGCTCTATATTTTCATCCATGCCAGACTGAGGATCAATTTGTGGCAGAAAACAAAGTTCGTTAATGGGAACACTGCAAATAGTGGGAACCAGCCTAGGAGGACATTCAATGCCAGATCGCTGCAAGGCACTAATGAGGGAGGAAGAGGAGGGGAGAAGGGAAGACAGCAGGAGGTTTTCTTCCCAGTCACGTTGCCTTATATCCCACTGCACCCTCTCCTCCTGCAGTCCTGCCCCAGAGCTCCAACACCCCGTGCATCAGTGCCCCTCTGAGGGGTTCCCTCCCAGCCATTCATCCCCGGGAGCTGGCCCAAACCAGGCTGCAAATGTGCTGAGCTTTTCTGGCAACGCTTCAGAATAAATGGCAAACCATTTCTGCAGCTCGTTTCCATTGTAGTATTAATCAAACTGAATTCCTGTGGTGCTCATATGGATGTCATATGTAAATCCCACTGCTCATTCCAAATTAAAGCCAACGGAGAAATTTCACTCCTGTCTCCATTCTGCAGCTCTGAACTCTTGTGTATTTATTCCATTCATGAATTTCTGATTACTGTGGACAGGAGGGAATACCAGACTTGATGACACCCATCAGAAAAAATTGATAATACTTGTGAATTTATAGAGGAGGTGCTCAGGTGCAAGGCTGAAGCAAACACGCCATGTCCTACCTCAATCAAGTACTCCACATCTTAAAATAGAAGCCCTCACGAGCATTTCAAACTGTCCATCCCTCAATGTGAGTGTTTCAGAACTAGAGGTTTTCCAGGCCAATTCTGACCCTCAGAAAAAGACATGAGAAACTCTCAAACAGCAGCTCTGGAACAGTTTCAAAGAGTTTTCTCCCCCACTATTAGAAATTCCACCCTGATTGATGAAGTATATATCTTTATTTACAATTTTTTTGTGGAGGCAAATACTGGCTTATTTTGCTCTGAGAGTACTGATCCCTCTTTTCAGTCCTTGAGAAGGGGATCAAAGAGCTGTGGACAAATTTCTGGACACCAGAAGTTAGCTGCTGATCAGGCAGAAGCTCCTTTGGCCTTGGGCAGGACTTTCAGCCTTGCACATGCTAAACCAAGTCCAGCATCTGAACTAGGACAGCGTGAGCACCTACAGGGTGTCCCTTGCCTTCAGGGCAGTTCTGGATCCTGGGGAGCACTGCAGCCTTCAGCCCATCAGAGCAGTGCCATTCACTTCCCCAGAGGAAAAGGGAGGAACACAGGAATGGGCTGAGGCGGTTCCAGCCCTTCCTGAATGGCTGGGTACTGGTGGGAAGGTCCCACCCCGGAGCTCTTGCCCACCCTGTGCCCCCCTGGCTGGCACCAGGCTTGGCAGTGGGCAGAGAGCAGATGAATCACGGCTTGGCCTTCTCTCTGTCACAGATAACAGAGCCACTCACTGCAGGAAGCCACACATATCACAGAGCTTTCCAGAAACAACCTTCCCAGACTCCACCAAGCCCTGTCCACATCAGGGGTGTTTCCTTCTGATCTTCTTTTGACCTAAACCACTCAAGCCTCCATGGAATCTCCCAGAACAAGAAATCATTCAGGGGAGATTCCTGCATTAGCTGTGTCACTACAAGAACTTTGGAAATTGTTCAGGTGCTTTCTCCCTGGGAAGACTTGTCACACATGTCTGTGTCACTCCAAAGGTATGTAGGAAAACATATAGGAAAATGTATTAGGAAAAAACTCTTCCCTGTGAGCGTGGTGAGGCCCTGACACAGGTTGCCCAGAGACGCACCACCACATCCCTGGAAGTGTCCAAGGCCAGGCTGGACAGGGTTTGGACTAACCTGGGACAGTGGAAGGTGTCCCTGCAATGGCAGAGAGGTGGCACTGGGACATCTTTTCCTCTTCCAACCCAAACCATTCCGAGATTCTATGGGGTATCCACTGCCCCACTGAAATACCTGGGTCATGAGACCCAGGTCTGCCCCCAGAGACTCAATGACCACTCACTCGTGTATCTTAAAATATGTGAACTGAATCTCCAGACCACAAGAATCACCAATTGCTTGGGTTGGAAAAGCCCTCTAAGATCAAATCCAACAATTACCCTGGCACTGCCAAGGCCACCACTAACCCATGTCCCCAAGTGTCACATCTACGTGTCTTAAATCCCTCCAGCGACTCGGTCACTGCCCTAGGGGCAGCCTATGCCAGGGCTGGACAACCATTTCCATGGAGAAATTTTTCTCAATATCCAATTTAAACCTCCCCTGGTACAACTTGATGCTGTTTCCCCGTGTACTGTCACTTGTTACCTGGGAATTCCCAAGATAAGGGGTGGCAGAGCATGGTTTTGGGGTACCATGTGTAGGCTCTGGTTGCTCTGCAGGACAGAGAAGGTCCCCAGTGAGGTCCATCTCTGGTCAGAAGACAGCACCAAGGATGCTCACGGGCTCAGCTCACACAGGGCTCTCCCCAGATGGAACCTGGAGATAGTACGTGGAAGTAGTGAGGTACAACAGTGGCACAAGGGATCCTTTCAGCTTTAGGGAGTCACAGGAGTCTTAGTCTGGGGAGAATTTGGGGATACTGAGTCCCCACACATCTGTACACATCTGTACATCTGTGGTGTCTCTGGCACTGCTGGGAGAGGTCCTGCCCAGGCTGGGAGGAAAGGGAATATCTGGGGATTGCCTGTCCCCAGCATTTGGCTGTGCTGCGTGGAGTCCACCCCAGTGCTGGCTGTCCCCAGTGGGGTCAGAAAAGGATGAACATCACTCTGCAGTACCCGGGGGGTCTCTGGTGGGAACAGGGCTCCAGCAGGTCACAGTGGGGTTCTGCTATGCCAGAAGGTCCTGGCTGGGCACTGGGGCATCCACTCCCACGTGTGGAGATCATGGCAGGGGCCTGCCCTGTGCCCATGTGTCCTGGGTGGGCATGGGAGCTCTACCTCAATGCTGGGGCTCACGGGAGGAGCAAGTCTGTCCTGTCCCAAGGGTTCTGGGATGGCACAGGGGGTCTGTCCCCAGGCTGGGGCGCACAGTGGGGGTCTGTCCTGTCCCAAGGGTCCTGGATGGCACAGGGGGTCTGTTCCCAGGCTGGGGCACACAGTGGGGGTCTGTCCTGTCCCAAGGGTGCTGGATGGCACAGGGGGTCTGTTCCCAGGCTGGGGCGCACAGTGGGGGTCTGTCCTGTCCCAAGGGTGCTGGGGAGGGCTGGAGAGGCTGACCCCAGGCTGAGGATCATGGGTGGGGGCCTGCCCTGTGCCTGGTGGGTCCCTTGAGGGCACAGGGATTCCTCCCAAGCACGGTGAGGACACTTGCGGGTCTGCCCCGTGCCCAGAGTGTGGGTGGCGACGGGGGTCTGTCCCTGCGTGAGGGGGGTCCCGAGGGGGCATGGCGGGCGACCCGCGGGGCGCAGCGACAGTGGAGGGGTTTGTGAGGGCCGGGCCGAGCGGAGCCGAGCCTTGCCCGAGCCCGAGCCCGAGCCGAGCTGTGCCGAACCAGAGAGGAGCCGTGCCGAGATAAGCCAAGGCGAGCCGAGCCGAACGCAGCCGAACCCAACCGAGCCGAGCCTCGGCCGATCAGCTGCCGAAGCCCCGGCGCTGGCCGGAGCCGTCCCGGCGGCGGGGGCGGCGCGGGGCCGGGCCGGGCCGGGCTGCCGGTCCCTCCTCCCCGATCCCCCGCCGCTCCCCCTCCGCTCCTTCCCGTTCCCTCCCGTTCCCTCCCCGCCTCCCTGCGCAGCGCGAACATGGCGGCGGCGGCGGCGGCGAGGGACTGAGCAGCGCCAGCGCTCGGCGGCCGCGCAGGTGAGCGGGCGGCCCGGGGCGGGCGGCTCGGCCGGGCTCG